TGGCTGAGCGGCTGGCTCACACCTGTAATCTTAGCACTTTGGAGGCTGAGGTAGGAGGATCACTTGAATCCAGGAGTTTAAGACCAGCTGGCAACATGGCAAAACCCCATCTCTACCAAAACCAAAAACAAACAAACAAAAAAAAAGCAGGGGTATGGTGTCATTGCCTCTGTAGTCCCAGCTACTTGAGAGGCTGAGGCAGGAAAATGGCTTGAGTCTAGTTCAAGGCTACAGAGAACTATGATTACACCACTGTACTCCAGCCTGCATGACAGAGCAAGACCTACCTGTCTTGATAGATAAAGAATGTGTCGAGGACACTTTTAATTTCTGCATTACAATATTGTACAAAACAGTAGTGAACCCTCTCAACCCACAGTGGGCACATAGCTCTTTTTGTTAATAATGTGTATATGACTGCAGTGTACCTCCTGGGAACACCATCTGTGAACCTCAGGGAATTTGTGAAATAACCTTTTCTGTTCGGGGCATTGGAAAGGAGAATCAGGGTACTTGCTTTGGCGGCACATATACTAAAAGAGAATCAGGGTGAGATGCTTACCAAAAAAGGTGCACATGTAGAAGCATGCATCACAAACAAGAAGTTTTAGAAGCCACCTGTTCGTGTGTGTGTGTGTTTTTGTTTGCTTTTGGAGACAGGGTCTTGCTCTGTTACCCAGGCTGCAGTGCAGTGGCATGATCATGGCTCCTCATTGCAGCCTCAAAACTCCTGGGCTCAAAGGATCCTCCTACTTCAGCCTCCCAAGTAGCTGGGACTACAGGCATGCAGCTTCACAACTGGCTTTTTTTTTTTTTTTTTTCTGTAGCAATTTGCTTTTGTTTGTTTGTTTGTTTTTTGAGATGGAATCTCTCTGCATCACCCAGGCCGGAGTGCAGTGGTGCAATCTCAGCTCACTGCAACCTCTGCCTCCCAGGTTCAAGCGACTCTCCTGCCTCAGCCTCCCGAGTAGCTGGGACTACAGGTGTGTGCCATGATACCCAGCTAATTTTTGTATTTTTAGTAGAGACAGGATTTTGCCATGTTGGCCAGGTTGGTCTCAAACTCCTGACCTCAGGTGATCCACCCGCCTCGGCCTCCCAAAGGCATAGCCACCTCACCTGGCCTTTGTAGTAATTTGGATCTTAGTTCTTAGAAACCCCAACTGATAAAGATCTCAATTAGAATTCTCACTGGACAACTCAGGAGGCTGAGGCTTGAGGATGGCTTGAGCCCTGTTGTTCAAGGCTGTAGTACACTATAATTGTGCTTGTGCATATCCACTGCACTCCAGCCTGGGTAACACAGCAAGACCCCATCTCAAAAAAAAAAAAAAAAAAAACACAATCCTTACTGGGAATGCCAAGGCAACTATACCCATAAACCATCTCTAGAGTCAACAAAACCAGTTCAAGTAAGATCTGAGAAACATGGTATCTTGCCTATCTAAAAGGCACTGCTAATGGGCAGTTTTATATCAGGTTTAGCATTGTATGTGGCATGAATTTTACAGTCTTTTAACTCTGACCAGTAGCTTTACATTAAAAAAAAAAAAAAAAGTCCATTCCAAATACCCTTTGGCTGTGATCTAGCAGCAATTTCATGGACTTCTTATCCAGAGGCAGACTATGAATTCAAATAGTGGTGTTATAACTGACCTAGGATTAAAACTAGAATTTGAAAGGCAATCACTATATAAATATATATATTTATTTATATATATTTATATAGTGTTTATATAGTATTAAATATATTTATATATATTTATATAGTATTTATATAGCCACCACGCTCGGCTCTGAGTTATAATTTTTTTTCTTAGTTGCACACTAAATGAGCCCCTTATAGACAAGTTATTTAATAACCTTCCCAGAGATAGTCATGACTCCTAATCTCAACATATTATCTGCTCTTATGCTTAGTCAAATTGCTCAGCAAAAACAAAGAAATGAACCCATCCATGGCTATCTGATGCAAGGGCATAGAAATATCTTAAATGGTACTTTGAAAAGGATAATAAATCATGTGACATTTAAGAAATTGGTTTTGGTAAGGTTAGGCTAGTAAGTCTGTGAATTTATTTTATTTCCCCATAGAAATAAGGAGTTGGTGGGGTGCAGTGGCTCACGCCTGTAATCCCAACACTTTGGGAGGCTGAGGTGGGCAGATCACCTGAAGTCAAAAGTTCGAGACCAGCCTGGCCAACATGGTGAAACCCCATCTCTACTAAAAATACAAAAATTAGCCAGGCGTGGTGGTGCACGCCTGTAGTC